TTCAACGTGATAAAAAATTATTGACGAAATGTTACCATTTATGGCAATATGTCTTTCCGTATGTTTTAAAGATTTCGAGATTTTGTAGTATAAAAATAATTTTTTTATTATTATTTAAGTATAAGAAATCCAAAAATTTAGCAAAGATGATATTTGATAGTTTCCGAGTTAAGATTTTGTAGTGTTCCAAATATAAGATTCTTATATTATGAATGAATTATTTACGAAATGGTTATAATGTGACCGTTTGACAAAAAAAAGGTTATAATGTGGCCAGATTTTGGTTTATATATAAATGTGGTTATAATGTTTTTCTTCGAAAAGGTAGAACCACTCCAAAAAATCGGATTTTAAGTATCCGTAACATGTATAGAAAAGAGATTATCTTATTTATTTAAGTACAATAGATATAAAATTTTATGAAAGATTTAGAGATTTTGTAGTTTTGAATTCGAGATTTTTGAACAAAATGTATATCTTTTATCATTTAAATATAAGCATATATATATATATATATATATATATATATATATATAAAGATTTTTTACCCATCGGCTAGAGAAGATTTATATAAATGTATATAAAGAAAAATATAAATATAAAAATTTATTAATATAAGATAAACACAATTTTTTTCCTTTTTAATTATTGAAAATAGATTATTAATATAAATAAACAAAGATCCCATGATTTGTTGTTAAATATAAATATGATATCAGTTGCCTAATTATTTTCTTTTTAATTATAATTTCATTTTTTTTGTTATTTGTATGATATATATATATATATATGTATTAAGACTAATGGCAAAATCTGTAAATAGTCTAGTAAAATTTGGGTAAAAATTTAAATGAGTGAAAATTCACTCTAAGAGCGACATGTCAGCATGGCAGTTTAGTTAATAACATGTCAAGATAAGGTTTATTTTATAAAGTGCTTCTCTATTAATATATAAGGGATTATTAAAAATCCACAAAAGTTGATCTAAATATTTTAATTCAAAGCGTACTTAAAAGTAATCGATTTGCTTAACAAAACAATACATTTAGAACTAGGCAGAAAATATTTATAAACGATTTTAAAATAGAAGAATTTCCCTAAAATATTAATTTTTTTCTATATTAAAAAAAAAAGTGAACTTTAAAATTTTGAACAAATAATATTTGGTTTGTTTCTATGTGTTCAAGGTGAAAATATCTCTCTTAGAACTTGTATATACTAATTAAGTAATATGACTAGAAAAAGAGATATTAATTGGTAGAAGAAAACCTCGGCCTATTTGTAATCCCTATAGGTACCTCCGTTTTTTTTTTTTTTTTACAAAGCGGAGCCTATACCTTCGTTTACAATCATATTCATGGCCTGGTCGCCACTTAATCATCGATCTTTGGACTGCGTCAAACTCTTCAACAAACCTCTCCATATGTTGCTTCACGGACGATACACTGACTCCATAGAACACCGGAACAACCACAAAGTCGTTGTTGTTACGGTATGAGTACTCGAGAATCTGTTTTTCCAAGAATGACACATGAAGTGCATAGTTTTTGGAAAAAACCACCACCACCACCCTTAATCTGGAGAATTCTTCAGGTCCCATCTCCCTCTCGACAGCTTCATCATGGCTGCTTTTACCGTCAACGAACGCAGAGATGATTCCTTGTCGGTTGAAAGCAGCGATGAGGTAGCTGATGAAAGAGGAGACTGATGAATCATTTTTGTTGAAACTGATATAAACGGTGTGCTTAACCTCATCGTTGCTGTTGTGGTTGTTGTTGTTGTTGTCCATACAAAGAGTTTGAGCATCAAATGACAAGAGATACCTTTTGTGCTTCCGATATTTTAGATTGTTCTACCATTGATTCCTTTGTTGTGAAATGACCAAAAGTAGTTTTTTCCCTCTAAATATGAGTTAAAAGATCTTCTACTTGGGGGAGGTTGATTATATAGAAGCAAAACATATATTTAATATTAACATTTCTTACAAATTTACATTAACTAAAATTTTAAGCAACTAGAACTTTAAAGACTGATTTTATACACGTAGGTATATAAAAAAGAAATGTTACCGATCAACATGTAAATATTTTTTACACGTAGGTAGGGCTGGGCACAAAAAAAAAATGTCAAAGCCCATGTGGTGGTGGGCGAGTGGTTGGTGGGCCAGGGGTGTTTGGGTGAAAGTCCCTCCCCTCCGGTTTCGATTCCTCCTCTTGCTGTTATCAACATTATGTGGGAAGTCTGTCAGTTGGGCTTTGGCCCAATTGGTTTACCTGGTAGTCAGAAATGCAGGCAGCCTGACTACCCCTGTCACTTAGTCAGAAGGCATTCCAAACTCGGGATAGGCAGAGTGGTAGCCCGAAGGGCCTAGCCGTTAATACGGTGGACAAGTCCACTATGTAGCACCTCGGTGCGTTCCTACCGGGGCCGACCGGATAGCCGATAGGGTTTATAAAAAAAAAAAAAAAAAAAAAAAAAAAAAAAAAAAAAAAAAAATGAAAAGTAATGATCGGATATTTATTTGATAGAAACTTTTTCCAAGTGGCATACGATGTTTCGTTTGAGTATATTAGTGTGATATACTGTTTTCAAACGTAAGAAACGTGCCTCAAGCCGCAAAAGGCTGAGAATTACATCGTTTACAAATTTTAGAGCTGTTTAACCGAGATTGGTCCGTTTTATTAGTGACCCCGGAGAAATATTCTAAAATGTAATTGATAAGCCCAAGATAATATAACTATACCAAAGTCGACCGTTTTGATGTTCTAAAATATTGATCAATGTCAAAAAACAAATCATCGATTGATCATATAGCTTTTAGGTAGAAGTTTAGTCATTACGTTTTTCACAAACCTTTTCTTTTTTTTTTTGAAAAGAGAAACGAAACCAAAAACAAAACGAGACATAATTACGATTCTTTTCGATTTTTCGGATAAAGTTTTTCTACCGCTCCTAATTATTACTGTAGAGTGCGGACATAGGTTTATAATTTATTTTTATAGATAAAAAAAAATCATAAAAGAGTAAACACAACGTATAGAATGTGAATATTTATAACACTAATCTATATATAATAGCAATCTAATAAATACCATTTGCACATCTGAACGGTTGCGTCTTTTTATCGCAATTTTTCGTTAATGTTTTAATTAAATAAAATATATATTTTACGGTTATGTTTTTTTTTATATATTTCAATTGCATTCTGAATGTTTTCTTCGGTTGCGTTTTTTATTGTAACTCTTCATAAACAGTTAAAACCGCTTATTCGAATCATTGCAATATTAAGTTTATTTTACGAACAATTGCAACCTTTGGTTTATATATTTAGTTTATTTCACGAACAATTGAAATTTTTGGTTTATTTTATAAATAGCAATAACATTTAATTATCTACCGCCGCGTCTCTCGGTGTAACTTTTCATAAATTATTATTTTAATTCTTAATTTTTAATTACTAAAATGTTTTTAAATGAGATTGTAACTATTTAATTGAATTGTTTTAACATTTAACGAATTATTGCAACTTTTGGTTTTGTGTTACGAACCATTGTTATCTTTAGTATATTTGATGAACTATTGCAATATTTGGTATAATTGACGAACCGTTGCAGTTTTTGGAATATTTGATATCTACGGTTGCGTTTCTCGGATAAGTTCGTCATATTTTTAAAAAATATTTAAATACTAAAATATATTTAAATGAATTGTTGTTACCGTTTAATTTAACACAATAGCATTTGCTTTATTTGACGTTGAACGTTTTGGCTTATTTATCAAACCATTGTAATATTTGGTTTATTAGTTTATGCTTTTTGCACTTGGGAATAGTTTTTTAGTTACAAATTATTGTTTTTTCAAATATTAATATACTTAATAAATGCTTGTGATTTTCTTTATCATAATTTTTGTAAAATATATATTGATTTGTTATTAAACAAAAATCAAAATTATTACAATTCATTATGATTTTTTCGTTTAATATTTTTTTAAAGGATTTTTGAAATATATTCCTCCGCAACATCGCGATGGTCCTGAGTCCTAGTAAATATAATAGTGATCAACAAAAATATTCTACATCAATTTAAAAAATAAATAAAGTGAAAGTCCGTTCGTAAAGCGGATATTCATCTAGTAGGAATAAAAATAATTGTCATTCCTCAATTGCTTAGTTAATTCTATTTAATTAATGAGTTATTATTGTTTTCTTCTTATTATCATTCTTTATTTTCGCTGATTCTGTCATTTGAAAATATTATTACCGGTGTTAGGGGTGTCAAAATGGGTCAAAATTCATGGGTCAACCTAACTCAACTCAACCCATGAACCCTAATGAGTTGAAAATTTTGACTCAAATGAGTTGATGGATCAAATGAGTTATTGAGTCAAATGGGTTGATGGATCAAATGAGCTGGGTTGTAATGGGTCAATGGTTTTAATGGTTTACCCATTTAACCCATCAATTTATGTTAAATTGAATCAAACCAATTCAAATCTCTAAACCGATTTCAATTTGAGTCTAACTAAAACTTCTAAACCAATTGAATATAGTCCTTAATTTTCCCGCCAAAAATGTGAATACACAATTTTCCCATCAAAATAAAATTCGTGATTTTCCCGCCAAAAACATAAATCCGTGATTTTTCCGCTAAAATTTTTTATAATTTTTAACCAAAAATGAGAATGTAAAATTTTCCCGCCAAAAAAGTAAATATATAATTTTCCCGCCAAAAACGTAAATCCGTAATTTTCCCGCCAAAAACGTAAATCTATGATTTTCCCGCCAAATTTTTTTATAATTTTTAATAAAAAATGAGAATATAAATTTTTCACGCCAAAAACGTAAATCCGTAATTTTCCCGCCAAAAACGTAAATCCGTAAATTTCCCGCCAAAAACGTAAATCCGTGATTTTTCCGCCAAATAATAGTGATATTGATTATTATTATTATTATTATATTTTAATTATTAATTTATTTATTACATTAATAGGTTAATGGGTCAACCCATTTAACCTTCTAACCCATCAAATTAAATGAGTTCATGGGTTGACTCAACTCATTTAAGCAAATGAGTTGAGTCAACCCATGAACTCATTTTAACTCTAAATTCATTGGGTAATGAGTTGAGTTGAGTTGGGTTAACCTAACCAGAGTCCTCTTCCTACTAGAAAAACGTTTGGAAACTCACCAAATGATTTTTTTTCTTTGTCAAACAATATTTCATTGAATAAAACCAGACCTTACAACAATAATTCACATAAAACTTACAACAAATGATTTTGGAAGTGGTTCCAACAAACTAAAAACAAAACAAACTTGATAGATAGACAACAAATCAAAGGAAAACTGACATAAGTAGAATTCCTGGTAAGTCTTTTCACATTTGAAAAGCATTATAAACCTTCATATCTATCTCGATCAATAACATCACGTTGCATCGTTAGGCCCGTAGAAAATCATTTAAGTTTATAACCAATGAGCCATTTTCCGTACCGTAGACCTTAAGAGTTACCAAAGCGATCTAATTAAAGAATTTGGTGAAGTAAATTTTGAAGATGTAGTTGCTATGTCTGATGGAGTTGTTGTATGACATAGGAAGTGATACATGATTGCTATAGTTTTTGTGTGAGTGTTGGTTTCTAAAAGTTTTGTGCAGACAAGATTAGAGCACGTTTTGGATGGACCAGAAAGGGAAAGAGACTAAATAAGAGTTTTGGAAGATTTAATGAAAGTGGAGTTTGATAAGAAAAATGAAAAGTGTCAAAGGAAATTTTACTTTTGCTTATAGAATTTGGAAACCTTCTCCTATCTTGATTAGGAAATCATGTTGGCTATATATGGGGGAGTTGTGCACGTTTTGGAGGATCGTGAGACTTAGACATAAATAAAATTCCGAGAGAGCTTTCTGAGATTGTGTTGCAACTTAATTTTGCGGTTTGGTGTTTGTGTGATCAAACTTATTTGTGTGTTGGTGTTGTCGACGTGTTGGAGTGCTTTGGTGTCATCGTTGGGATCGTTGGTATGACGGTTGTTCCAGATACTTGGAGAATTGAAGTCTAGGTTCAGAGGGAGTTTAGCCCAGGGTTATGTTATCCTGATTAAATCTAGGCTCATTGGAGTTTAGTTAAGGGTAGAGATTATCCTTAAGAGTTCACGTTATAGAACAGAACGGTGAATCAAGAGGGTTTTGTTTGGTTTACGCGTTTAAGAATATGTTGTATTTGCTTTCTTGTTCTGGTCAAATTAAAATCTGGACTTGGTCCCGAGGAATAGAAAAAACCGAACCTCGTTAACGAAGCTCTTGTCAGTTTTATTTCTTGTAAGTTTATCTTACCTCATCCACACTTACACATTTGTATACGAAATACCGAACTTAACCAATTCATGTTCTTTAACTTAAGTAATCTATATGATATCGAACTGTTGATTGGGTGATACGTAAGACTCAGTCTCCAAAAAATTAAATTTCAACACGCTTGCTTGTTCTTAATATTCATCCTAAATTCCAACAAAACAAACCAAAAATCCTATAGAGAAAATTTCCTCTGTTTTTTAATATCTAATGTTTTAAGAGAAAAATATATTTTAAATTAGATAATATTTTTAATTTTAGTGTAAAATTAATATTTTTATTATTAGTTTTGACGATTTGTATTGTGTTATTGTTAGTTGAATAATATTTTGATAAAATAATAAATGATGTTTTAGTTTAGAAATAAATAAAAATTAAATAATTTCTTAATTTGTATACAAAATGTTTAAGAGAAAATTAGCCTCAGTACCACTTTTTTAAAAAAGTTTAGGTCCAGTACCACTTTCTGAGTTCACTTAGCATCCATACCACATTCGTCATCTGGAAAGACGAAACTACCCTTCTGGCTGCGTCAGGAATGTGTCAGGGGAAGGAGCTACAGTCTGCCGTCCTTTTTCTCTCTCCTGGCGCATTGGTAACCGTTTTCGTCCCTCTGGTTGGTAAAACAAAGCTGTCCCCGAATAAATCCAGATCTTCGTAGTCTCCGAATTTTCTGCCGTCCACAATCTCTCTCCTAACGCATTGGTAACCATTTTCGTCTCTCTGGTAAAACAAAGTTGTCCCCGAGTAAATCCAGATCTTCGTCTTCGGCTCTTTGGCGGAATAAAATAAAGATCAAGTTGTCTCCAAGTAAATTCAGATCTCTGGCTGGTAAAACCACATCATCTGGCGATGGACAATCAAGAGAAGTTGTCCCCGAATAAATCCAGATCTCTGGCTGGTAAAACCACATCATCTGGCGATGGACAATCAAGAGATCTGGACTTATTCTGGGGGGACATCATTCACTCTATTTCATAATTATTGTCCATGGTAAATGTAAACTGCATTTAATGCAATGTTTTGTCCTTCTTCTCTGACACAAAGTTGTCCTTCTCTGACACAAAGTTGTCCCCGTTTCCCAACCGGCGTCTACTGTAGCTCCTTCGCCTGACACATACCTGACGCACAGAGAAGGGCAAAATCGTCCAAGAGTTGCCACACAAACACCAAATGTGGTATGGATGCTAAATCCATTTCAAATGTGGTACATTTGCTAGGATTTTCCCAAAATATGGTACATTTGGCAAAATTCCCAATGTTTAAATATTAAAAATTAAAAACAGAGAAAATACTTGATTTATTCTTTTGACTTTCATTTTGTTTGAATTTGTTGACTTTTTGCCCAAAATTGAAATCCAACATAAAATATATTGTATGCCGTCTTGAATCATTAATTCCATACTTATCATTATCATCTCACTGCATCAATTGAAAAAGTCAATACACAAAAGTAAAATTTAAAGCATCTTCGACCCATCTCTATTTTTTTTAATATGTAATTAATTAATCAATTAAAAATTATACATATAAAAGAAAGGTTTCACTCTCACCTTATTGGTCCACTTGGCAATAAAACTTACAAAAATAACTATTTTTGATTAAGCTAGAAATAAATAACACATTTAATTAAATATATTTAACTCACACTTTATATAAAATTGAAGTCATAAAAACTAAGCATTAACTATATTTCTTCATTCAATTTTATTCAACACACAATAAACTAAATTGTAACTCCCATAATTTATTTTTTAAATTGTATCTCCCATCACTTCTCACCCTTCCCTCATTCACTCATTCTCTCATCCTCATCTACTATATCTCGAATCTTAATTTTTTTTTTTAAGTTTTCTTTTTGGGTGATTGGTTGTTATTGTTGTATGGGTTTAAGAAAATCAAATTTAAAATCATTGTAAAAGCATAGTTCTAAATTTTATTTTTAGAGACTATATGATATATATATTACATTATTTTTTGATTTATTAAAGATTCATATCTATTGTCTATTTTAGATTATTATCTTATAAGTAGTCATTTTCTCATATTTTTCCACTATATCCATGTATCTATTTTTTATATTGCTATATGGGTTAATATCAAAGAAACCATCATTGTAAAAATTTGATTCTAAATTTATTTTAGAAAGTATGTCATATAATATATTTTTTTTAATTTTCAGAAGCAAAATAAAAGTTTTGATGATTATAACAAAACTTTCAGGTTTATTGGTGATGGAGAAATAAGAATATCAATTCTAATCATCGTACAACAAGGAAAATAATGTTAAGAAGATCCATCTCCAATTTCTACTTTAGATGTTTAATTATTTTCTAACATATCCATGTATTTGTTTTTTAATTATGAAATATTTAATAAATAAACTATTGTAGCACATATATCAAATAATTTTTTATTACCTCTTTATTATCTTAAATAAATTTTTGTAATTCATTTTTAATATATGTATCATTATATTTAGCTTTTTCTGATCCATTAGATAATTATATAAAGATCGTTATAATGTTTCTTTTATTTAAAATTTGAGGTTTAAGTGTTTCTTGTAAACAAAAAGCTTCATTAAAAAATATTGGCCTTTAAGATTAAAAAAATAAAATCATATGTTTCACGAAAATTAAATTTATTTTTAATAAAATCATTAAAATGAAACATAGCACGCTCATACTTTTATGGAGTGAAATAGATATAAAAAAGAAATAATTTTTTTTTTAATTAATTCCTGTAACTAAAGATGCAACCATTAGTATGAAATTTAGCACTAGAATTTAAATTGATGAGTGAAATTAAAAAAACTTTTAAAAATAGAAGTTATCCTTGGAGTTTTGTAAAAAATCTTTAGATTGAAGTTCATAAGAAATTTAGTTTGTCACTTACCTCCGCATACAGTGGCGGAGCTACGTTATTGGTAGTGGGGTCACTTGACCCCAACAACTTCTTAATTTTAACTGATTTGCTATTGAAAATTAAGATTAAATTAGAGAATATGCTTAAAATTCTTTATATTGACCCCATTAAAATATGTTTAAATCCTTTATTTTCTCTTCGTATAACATATTGACCCCATTAGAAATTGATTATAGATCCGCCACTGTCCGCATATGTAAAATTATGCCTGATTTATGTAATTCAAAACTATCGTTAAAATATGTATAACCAAATATATGACAAATTGCATATATTATAAATAAATTAAAGAGAAGAAACGTTACGTACTCTTGGCCTTTATATTTCCAAGCATCCCATCCTGGATGTACAATAACACTTGACATGTTGGTTTCATAGAAAACAACTCATCTAGAGTAGCCTCTATAAGCTCTTCCCAAGAATGCTTTACCACTTCCTTTAATCTCACAATTCTTGAACACGAATCCACTTGTGTCTTCTTCGCTTTCTCTCCCTTGCGCGGTTATGAATCCTGTTAACATTTGTTCTCTCTTCACACCATTCCATTTCTTGTCACTCTTTTAACGTATATAATGCAGTTCTGCATCCACACACAAACTTATCTTACTAATTTTTAACATCTCTATACTTAGCCATTATATGAGAGTTATATGAAATTACTTGGTATATAGATTGGCCTCGTCCCCATATGAAATCGATAGCTCCTTCGATGTAACAGTTTTGGAAGTAGTGGCGGCCTAGTAAATCAGCTATTGTCTGTCATAATCTTCATTGTAGTTTCCATCAGACTGAGCTAAATTCTCTACCAGCTCCCATCCTTCTTCAACTTCCTTGTTCAGGAAATTCC